ATATCCCAAATTCCTGAAACCAATACTGCTAATCGCTGCCTGTTACATGTTGTTCCCCTCTATGCGATTATACCACAAAAAGCAATTCAATATATCATTCCTGGGCTGAGACCTTTCATCTACTTTATGGTTTATTTCTCTGCTAGTTTCTGGCTGAGATTCATGATTAGAAACAATTAGCACGTCATAGATTCTGACTGGCTGCTGTCATCTCCAGAAAAGCTAGTCAAGTGATAAATCTGTCTTCTATTTTTTCCTTTGTTCTGGAGCTTCTTGGCTATTATATGTGTGTGTGCATGTGTGTATGTATACATGCACATATATACATATATATATAGTAACTTTTAGTTACCCTGAGGGATTCTAGTGAAGATAGCAACCATCTGTTAAGCAAAGTCATTAAGAAATTTGAGCCCAAAAATATTAACACAAAGAAAAATCTGTGTATCTCTTGGTGACTGGTGAGCACTGACCAATTCCAAACTATTGAAGAGTTCTATTAAGTGATTGCTCTACAAGAGGAAAGAAAATAGTGCATTTCAGAGTACATGCACACCAAATCAAAAAGAAAGAAATGTTCTACCTCATATGTTTTTGTGTTTCCTCTAAATGTATTTAATAGTTCTAAGCAGAAGGATCTTACTCTAAATTTCAAGCATGTCTATGAATGTTCATAAGAAATTCGGTGATATAAAATAGATCTCTGAAAATTATTAAAATCAAACTAAGCTGGCACTGGTTTCCTGTGCCTGTAATCCTAACTACTCAGAAAGCTGCGATCTGAGGATTGAGGTTCAAAGCCAGCCCAGGCAGAAAAGTCTATGAGACTGTTTTTTTTTTTTTTTTTTTTGGGTCCAGTCGGGGGGCCTGAACTCTGGGCCTGGGCGCTGTCCCTCAGCTCTTCAGCTCAAGGCTAGCGCTCTACCACTTGAGCCACAGTACCACTTCTGGCTTTTTTCTTTTTGCTTATGTGGTGCTGAGGAATTGAACCCAGGGCCTCTGGCATGCAAGGCAGGCGGTTTGCCACTGAGCCACCTTCCCAGCCCCTCTATGAGACTCTTATCTCCACTTAACCAGGAAAAAGCCAAAAGTGGCTGTATGGAACAAGAGGTAGCGCACCAGCTTAGAGTGAAAAAGCCAGAAAGAGCTCAAGGCCCTAAGTTCAAGCCCAGTACCAACCAACACACACAACCAACACACACAACCAACACAACACACACACACACACACACATACAGATCTAACTTAAATTACTATACTGTGCTGCTATTTTCCTTCAAATGTTGTATAAGTCCTTGGGGAAATGTGTTATCAGTGGATTGTCTGCCTGATTCATCTCTCTGACTCCAACAACTAGCGCAAGCAAACTTGATTCCCAAGTATTCCCTTAAGACAAAGACCTTTAACAAACAGGATTTCAACTGGGCTAGAGGGAACACCAAAGAATAATTGCTCCTTTGTCATGGCATCTTTCTCTCTCCCTCTCTCTCTTTTTCCCTCTCCCTCCCCCCCTCTCCCTCCCCCTCCCCCTCCCCCCTTCTCTCTCTGGGTGACCTTTTTGGCTCAGGAGGAACAATTTGTGCACATTACACTTAACACCCAGGCCACAAAAATACATTTAAAACCACTAAAAAAATGAAGTAATCAGACCTACTTAAATGCTTTCACCATCTGGGTAAATAACACCCCAAGGGCCAAGGCTGTTACCTAAAAAATTTTTTCTAAGTGTGTTACCCAAGTCTGAGAGGCAACAGGTACGTGGATTTTGTGCCAATTAGAAGTGTTATGATTGGCACACAGCTGTGAAACTCTAAAATTATAGTTTAATGGAAATGCTGGCTGTCATCCCCAAAGTACATTTCAAGGAATCACAAAACTTAGAAAGAGCTGAATGGAAGTTTTCATCTGTGTGGAACTCAAAGATTATGTGATAGCACAAAGACTTTTGCAGGTGCCCAGCTCTTACTCCACAGCCTCTTTCACCATACCCCATTCATCCTTGACAAGCTCAAGTCCAGATCCTCAATGAGGGTCAGCACAGCCAACACAGAGACAACAGGGTCCCCTAAAAACCAGGTTGCTGGGATCCATGTTGAAGCACAATGCTGGAATTCAGACAGCAGTCTTCTTCCCAGCCTTGTTTAAAAAAAAGAAACACACACACACACACACATCCAACCATTCCCAAGTGAATGGTTGGATGAGTGAAGCAAAAGGCACTGGGTTCTGAAAACCTCTGGAACTCTTTCCCAAATGTTTTGGGTTTGGCCTCACAGTACACACTTTGCCCCAGGCCATTCTTCCCTTAATTTTTAGGCCCAAGTGTATTTGAAGGTAAATTGATCCCACATGCTTCTTGATTCATCAGCTCATGTTTTGAAAGAGCAATCCTGGTCCAAGAAGCTCTCTGAGCCTGCTTTTATGAAATCTCTTCGTGTCTTTTTTTTTCTTTCTTCTTAGAAGCAGGAAGCTACATTTGGACATATGCAAGTAAAATGCAAGCCCCAGGGTCTTGAGTTTGATTCCAAATGTGGCACCTCAGAAACCAATGGGTCCTGACGCCACCAACACAGAGCTTCTGGACCTTCTTTGTAAGAAGTGAAAGGAAACTTGACCTTGTACCGTGTGCAACCCACATCCACTGTTCTGGCTACATGGTTAGTGCAGAGCTCACAGAAGCCTTACCCTGCCTGGAACACCTAAAGTCTCCCTGCACAGGGGGGTGCCCCAGGCTGGCAGGTGCCTATCAGCCTTTTCTCTGCACACAACCCAAAGGAGGCTGCATTGGTAAGTCTGAAGGAATTCATCCTTTCTCTGTGAGCTTCAGATTTGGGGCACCTGTTTGCATGTGTTTAGTTTTTGATAGAGAAAAAAAGTAACGAACGAGAACTGAGGGTCTGGTGTGAGGGAGAAAAAGGCAGGCTGCAGTTACGTAGATGTTGCAGTGACTAAGGACCCACAAACTGTCTTCTAACCCTGAGGTCTGAAGCACAACACCTGCCACTGTGGGGGCTTTAATAAAGATGCTACCACCGGGTAGGACGGGAGCATCCATAAATGGATCCTACGGACTCAGCCTCAACTCCTCAAAGAACCCATGGCTCCTGGGCTGGATCAGGAAGGCAGTAGCCCCAACCTTGTTCTCCAGCCTGTGACTTGTGCTAATGATGCTCTTAGCAACTTTCTGTGCATCTAAAGCTTTTGAAGGAGGAAAATCCCAAGTTCCTGATAAGGTAAAGGATGTGGACCCTTGTAGGGAACTACAAAGGTGGGGAGGGCAAGGTGGCTAGGGCCACATCTGTCCATCTCTCTCTCTAGGTTTTTTTAGTGCCAGTCCTGGGGCTTGAACTCAGGGCCTTGGTGCTGTCCCTGAGCTTTTTTGTTGTTGTTGTTCAAGGCCAGCACTCTCCCACCTGAGCCACAGTACCACTTCATTTTCTGGCTTTTTAAAAATATTTTTTTAACACAAGATGCAATTTAATTTTGAAACTTTTGTCAACTGGAGTGGGTAGGGGCAATAAAGGGGCAAAGAGGATGCAGTGGCTGGAGAAAACCTAAACCGAAGCAACTAGGCCACAACTCTCGAGCTTCACAGTATTGGCTGCTTTTCTTGTGTGAAGATACTGGGTTCAACTTTCAAGTAGAGATAAAAGTCTCATGAGTGGGGGAAGAGGGGTGGGGGAAGGGGGGAGGGAGATGGGAAGGGATGGGAAGGGATGGGAAGGGGAAGCAAAGGAGGAGGCAACAATGCTTGATAAGAAATGTACTCATTATCTTGCCCATGTAATTGTAACCCCTCTGTAAGGTATTTTCACAATTAAAAAAAAAGTCTCATGAGCTGGGCATTGGTGGCTTACAACTATAACCTAGCTACCCTGGAGGATCTGAGGATCACAGTTCAAAGCTAGCCTGGACAGGAAAGTCTATGGCTCAAGGGTAGAGCATTAGCTTTGAGCACAAGCAGATCAGGAACAGTGCCTAGGCTTTCCTGCCCAGGTTGGCTTTGAACTGTGATCCTCAGATCTGGGTCTCCTGAATAGCTAGGATTACAGGTGTGAGCCATTAGCACCTGGCTTCTAGGGGTTTTAATGAGGCATTGTCAATGATGACTAGTATTTGTTGGTTTTCTGTTTTGTTTTGTTTTGGTGCTGGTTCTAGGGCTTAAACTCAGGGCCCAGGTACTGTCCCTTAGCTAGCCTCTTGAGCCACACCTCCACTACTAGGTTTTTAGTGGCTAATTGGAGATAAGGGTCTCACAGATTTTCGTGCCTGGATGGCTTTGAACCACAATCCTCCTATCTCAACCTCCTGAGTAGCCAGGATTACAGGCACAATGCCTGGCTTATAACTAGTCTTAAACATCCTGATGTGCTGGGTGCCTGCGACTCACACCTGTAATCCTGGCTACTCAGGAGACTGATGTGAGGATCTTGGTTCAGAGTCAGACTGGTCAGGAAAGTCAGTGAGACTTTTATCTCCAGAATATGGGAAGTGGTGCTGTGGCACAAGTGGTAGAGTGCTTACCTTGAGCTGAAGAGCTCAAGGACAGCACCCAGGCCCAGAGTTCAAGCCCCACAACAACCACCACCACCAACAAAATCCTGATGCACAGGCCCTACTGAAGATCAACATCAGTCTTGGAAGTGACTCTTGGTTTTTCCTTCAAAGCTCTAGCAGTTATCAATCCATACTGGTAGGCTTAGGGGCACTGACTTGGGGTGGCACTCCCTTCCCTGTGATAGTCCTCCAAGTAGTCTTCATAACAGAGAGATTGTCAGTGGTTTTCCAATAGCTTCCCCTAACTTTAACTTTATCCTCCTCCTTTCACTGCCCCCCTCCCACCCCCACCCAACTGTCTGTCAGCTTTCCAACATCATGGAGGATAGTCTAACCCTTTGGAGCCCTTTCCAAACCACTAAATGATAAACAAGTTTAAATAAAACTGAAACCAACCCTAAGAGCGGAATCATCCACAGTGTCAAAATGAACCAAACACAAGATCTCTTCAAATATTTAATCGGTTTTGGAGAACTCTGCCTTCCAACCCAGTTGAGTAAAAGTTCTAAAGAAAGCATGATTAAGGAGTCCTCAAGAAAAAAATAAAAGATAGGGGAAGCTGGGACTGGAAGACAGAACTTAACATGTGCCTGAGGCCTTTAAAAGAATTCTAGCACTTAAAAAATACTCAAAATGCACAAGGAAAGATTAAACAGTTATACAGATTTAAGAACACTGAAAACCTGTTTTATAGCTGAACATACCAGACACAGTTTTGAAATAGACTCTTTAAAAACCCTTACATCCTGTTGTGGTTTGTTTCCATAGCCTTCTCAGTACATGCAAGAAGCAAACTAGCTAGACCCAGCATTCCCCGAAATCTCTTGGGCCTTTGCAAAGCAGCAATGCAACAAGAGACAGAAGAAGTAGAAGAGGTGAGAGCAATGTTCACAGTCTTTGAACACCATTCACACCCCAGCCAACCTAATCTATGTTTCTTTGAAAAAGATTGGGAGTAAACTGAAGGCTTTGAAAATCACCAATGATCTCACATCAGGGTGGCCAACAATAATACTTTTTGATAACGGTTTCATAAGAGCTGGGATGTCCTTCAGAGGATAAAAAAGGCAGGGGTCAGGACACCAGGCTGCCTCCTCTGGAAAAGTTCAGCAGGAAAAGTGCAACGTCTGTCTCGCTCTCATTCTTGCTCTTGTTTCCTCTCTTCTCCTGTCCCTTGGTGCTGGTGAGCGGAAGTGTCCCAGGCGGCGGCCTGAGGCTCAGAACGGGTACTGCGACACGTATATTCGCAGTCGGATCACAGAGCTGCCTCTGAAGTTGATGACGGTGTTGACAGTGATCATCTCCAAATCCAGCTGGATGTCCCGGGGACCTTTGATGGGACGTGTCATCACCAGAGTGGCACTGATGGGGCCTGTTTGCTGCAGACAGAGGGGGTGACATTAGCAGAAAGTCAGGCTGATGGCCCTTGGCAATCAGTAGTGCCATGATTTCCCTCCAACTCTTCCTACCCTGCACCTGGTTCTAAGTACTTAGCATTTATGTTGTAAATACAAAACCTACAGGTGATTTAAGGTATATGAGAGGACATAGGTCATATGTACCTATGCAAATACTATGACATTTTACTAAGAGACTTCAGCATCAGCATTTTGGTCTCCTCAAAGGTCTTGAGGTCAGTCCCTCACCATCCTAAGGAATAATTGAAACAAATGAATGGGCCATTGAGCAAACTTGTTACACAACTCAGAACGATCCCTTCATCTTTGCAGGCCTCAGATCTAAGTGAAGTTTTACATCAGATCAGTAATTGTCAAACAATAACATCAAGAGCACTGCGGGATTTTTGTTTCTCTACTGATTCTGTGGCTTGAACTCAGGGCCTCGGCGATGTCCCTTAAGCTATGCTCAAGGCTAGCTCTCTGCCACTAGGTGCCACAGCTCCATTTCTAGTTTTTGAGTGGTTAGTTGGAGATAAGAGTCTGACAGGGACTTTTCTGCCCAGGCTTTGAATCACCATCCTCAGATCTCGGCTTCCAGAGTATTATAGGTTAGAGCCACCAGCACCTGGAGCCCAAGACTTTCTAATTTGAAGTAATGCCTACGAGAAGTGACATTTGTTAAGAGTCCTTGTCTAGAATTCTGTGGTCGCTTCCAGTTTCATCTTCCATGACTCTATCACTGAGCAGCTAATAATTTCATGTGAACTCTTCCCTTCCATGGACTAGTTTTCTTCTTTTTTCTTTTTTTTCCAGGGCTGAGGACCGAACCCAGGGCCTTGTGCGCGCCGGGTGGGTGCCCTTCCTCTGGGCTAGCCCGTTGGGGGGCTTCTTCTTTTTTCTTATCTTTTCCTTTCCTTTCCTTTTTTCCTCCCCCTTTTTGTCATTTCTTGGAAGTGTTGAAGATCAAACTCAGGGCTTTAGTACTTGCTAGGTAGATGCTCTACCACTTGAGCCAACCCCTCAGCCCCATGGAACCTTTTTCTAGAACTTTAAGGGAAGCAGGGAGAAAAGGCTGGCATCAATTCAGTGCCCACCAAGGAAGAGGCAAGGAACTATTCCAGTTATTTCCATGGACTTCCATTATTCTAATCCCCATAAGAACCCCAAAAATTCTTGGTATTGTAAGTACAGTCCCTAGAACCATCAACAACAGTGTCACCAGGGAGGAGTGTCAGAAATGCAAATTCCCAGGCCCCGTGTCCCACCTACGGAGCTTGATACAATCCCAAGGATTCTAGTGAAAGACCCCAACTGTCTAAGAGCTGTCCTAAAGGTATGTCCCATTATCTATCATAACCAAGCCAACTGAGGCCCAGTAATGCTCATTGCTCAGGGTCACCTGACTAGTCTAGAGAAGAGTCTTTTAGGTTTGTCTGTCTCATCTAAGTCACTTTGACACTTTGAATTACCAGAAGAGACTAAGTCTTTTGCCTCTTCTCCCTGGCACTAAATGAGAGATGCTTTGGGTCCATGGGATGGACAAAAACAGGACATTAGCAGAGGAAGTATCATGACAGAGAATCAGGTTGGGCTGGACAATCATGTCCCAGAAGCTGTTGTGTCTAGAAAATGAAAGCAACAGTCTCCGTGAAATGAAAGAACTTGACTTGTGTAAAGCCATACCAGGCAATTATTCTGTCTCCATGAAGGAAGTTCCTGCTTCCTTGGGGAAGAGCTGAATATCTCCAAAGACTGCCACTGGCAGAACAGGGGCAGGGCTGGCACAACGGATGTAAGCCATGTACTCAGGCCTCCCCTGTCTGCTGGGCAGCTTTTACAGCCTCGCAGTTTCCTCTTGGTATTGGCTTTCTGTGTTCCCGTCAGCATCCGTGTCATTGTCACCTCCGTGTGCAGAGGATCTCTTGGACTTCCTTGTCAGCCCTTGCAAAACCTCCAAGCCCTAGGCCAGGACTTCAGCCATATAAGGAAATGCCCAGAGCATTTACATATGCAAATCTCTCACCAGCTTTCACTATTTGCATGAACAGAAGCCAACGCTAAGGACGATAAATTCATGCGATAGACCTCTAGAAGACAATTTACAAGGCCTAAGGTCCAAAGTGGGAATGGAGTTTGTGGAACCTTTTAAGTTATTCCTTTGGGTTTCCTGGAAAAGGTCACAAAACTGGGGCATGGTATTAGAATATCTGATTCCAAAAAGGCTGCTTCCACTCCCATGCTCTACAATAGGGTCTCCATAGCTCTCCATTTCCTGTCACCACACGGGGCCTGCTTGACTTGAGCATTGTGAATTTATGTTCTGGTGGCTCTGTCGTGTCTCCCTCTCCCCGGTTTGAGCATGAGTGTTTGGGCAGAAGCTTTCATCCTGTTGGTTTCTGAATTCCAAGTGCCCGACTCAAATCTCCATTGATCGTGGTGCCCAATGACTGATACAATAGAAGCAAACATGAGAATGACTGAGCACTGGTAGTAATAACTAGAACAGGAAAATGCTTCCATGGCCTGTCACATTTATGTCTTCCTGGTCCTGCTCCCAAATGCACACAGGCTTGCTCAACTTGTAGGTTGGCACTCAAGCAGCCTAGCAGGAAAAAGTCAGCTTCCCTGGCCCTTGTCACCTGGTTCACGTTTGTAATGGAGTAAACACATTTTGGCACAGGCTGAGCCTCATGACCATGCTCCTTCTGGCCCGAATTATATCCCCAAGCCACCTGGCGAAAATTAATCACCTGTACTCTGTCCAGGTCTTGTGATGCCCAAGGAGCCTGTGTGAAGGTGCAGGTGACTCCATGCATGTATGCACACACATATGCATGTATGCACGCATGTATGTGCATGGGTTCCTAGGTGAGTGGGTGTGCAGATGTGGATGCTAACTTGCCTTGTGGATGACATAATGCTCCTCCCCAAGGGTTTCTTGTAAACCATCAGTGAATCTCAGGGTAGAAGGAACTGAGTCCCTCTCCCCTACCCCATGATGCTCTAGGGCTCCCAGGGGCTCATAGCTTCTTAACAACAGTGGTAACAGGGGTAGCAATAGCAACAACCAGTGTCTACACAACAATGACGAAGGTTTTCTTGAATACTTTCTATTGTGACTAGGTGTTAGGACATATTTCTCTTATTATCTTAATTTCTTCTGAGGCCCCAAGTTATAAGGATAGATAAACTATACCCCACACTCTAAAGAGAGCTGTAAAGGCCCTGAATAAGGACTGGGTGTAAGCACATCCCACCAGCATACTGCCAAAAGTCTGTGTGGGACACAGGGGGCGAAGAGGGGTTAAGAGGCATGAGGAGATTCTACTGCCCCCTTCAGGGACGAGTCAGACAAATCTCCAAAAACCCACCTGGTCATCCTGTGAAGTGACTGCCCCCTAGCAGGGCACCAGTGCCCAGCTATAAAGGTAACAATTGAGTAAAACTTTGGCCATCCCAGCCACGCCCTTTCTACCACCTGTGCCCCCACCTAAACCAAAGGAGCCACAATCAGTGCTCTCCTGCATGGAGGGGGAGAAGAAAGCTGCTTGCTCTGGACCAGGCAGGGGGAAACTTGACACTGAATGAGGCTGAGAGGCTGAAGTTCCCACTTTAAGCCAGCAGGACTTCTGATGAATGGGACTCTCAGGAGGAACTAAAGGTGAATGATGAGATGTCACGTGGTATGCATAGTTTGAGTCAGAGGCAGAGAAAGGGGAAGCTCTTGACTCTTTCACCCCAGCCAAATGCCACTTGTCAGCTAAAAAAGTCATTCTGTGGACCAGGAGCTAAGCTAAGTGGATGAGCTCATCTAATCCTAATGTAAATACTGTTTGGAACCCTTCTTTACAGAAGAGGAAATGGAGGCCAAGAAAGGCTAGGTGACACCCATGGTCACTTGGTTGGGGCAGACTGGAGAACACAGAGTGAAGCCAGTGAGCCTGGCCCTGGAGCCACGCTAGACTCCTGTGACTGGTCTCCTGGTGAGGTCTTGTGGCTCTGGACAACTTGAACACTCAGAAGGCCAGCTTAATTGGGCCAGTTTCTCTCTCCTGCTCCTCTGCCCTTTCCTCCTTCTGCCTCAGGGTTCTATGCTAAGCCTTTACTTTTTCTTTTTCTTTCGTGTGTGTGTGTGTGTGTGTGTGTGTGTGTGTGTGTGTGTGTGTGTGCGTGCCCGAGCGCGCCTGCCTGGAGTAGTGAAGTTTAAACTCAAGGCTTGGACACTGTCCTTTAGCTTTTTTGCTCAAGGCTGGCACTCTACCACTTGAACCACAGCTTTCCTTCTGGCTTTTGATAGTTCATTGCAGATAAAAGAAGTCTCACAGACTTTCTTGCTGGGGCTGGCTTTGAACCACAATCCTCAGATGTCAGCCATCTGAGTAGCTAGGATCTGAGCCAAGGATACCTGTTTCCAAGCCTCTTTTCTCATCCTAGAATCTTTGAGGGGCATTGGGGCCAGGAGCCACCACCATCCTTGGGTGTTTTCAGCAGTATCCCTTTGTTCTCTTGGTATCCTTACATCTCTCTTCTGAATAAAGGCTAAAGCACTGGGTCCATCTTGCCATTTCAGAGAGGTATAAGCTCTGTACAGCTCTGATCTCTGAGTTCCCAGGGCTCTCTTGCTGTGTGACAGTCTGGGCCCAAAACAAGTTCCCAGAAAGGGAACTATCCATTTCAGGAAAGGTCAGTTACCTTTCCCACCATCCCCAAGTGCCTCTCAAGTCAACAGCCACAAGGGCTGTTGGGTAGAGGGTTACTGGGGGGATGGTGTCATGTGGAGTGTTATCATGCCTATGAAAGGCCCTGCAGATCCCCTGATTTGCTCGGGGTTGGAGCAGGGACCAGAGCAGGGGGTATCAGTGACAATGGATATTCAGAATATGTCCTGTGACACTTTGTCCTTCAGATGACAAAGGACAGCCAGCCCACAGAGGCAAAGCAAGGGCGTTCTGCTGTGGTAATTACATGTTTAGAGAAAAGAACACAGCTCTGCCTCTTTCATCCTGCAGAAACTCTTCTACTCTTCTATACTGCCCCCCCCACTTCATCCCAAGCCCTCAACGCTGCTATCATGATCTACTGAGCCAGGTCTACAGGAGCTCTTTGGATCATATAACCAAGAAGACCTGGTTACCAAAACTATACTAGTGAGAGTGCTCCAGGCCCAGAGACCTTTTCTTTTCTTTCTTTCTTTCTTTCTTTTTTCTTTTCTTTTCTTCTTTTTTTTTTTTTTTTCAGTCGTGGGGCTTGAACTCTGGGCCTAGGCGCTGTCCCTGCTCAGCTCAAGGCTAGCACACTACCACTTGAACAACAGCCCCATTTTCAGTTTTCTGGTGGTTAATTGGAGATAAGAGTCTCACGGGCTTTCCTATCTGGGCTGGCTTTGAACTATGATCCTCAGATCTCAGCCTCCTGAGTAGTTAGGATGATAGGCGTGAACTGCTGGTGCCCAGCTTCCCTGAGACCTTTTCTAATCAGTTCTTTCCACTATTTCTGCAAAGGCAGGTTGAAAGAATCAGTCAGGAGCTGGGAATGGGACTTAGAGCTCTAACATGGAACTGTCTGGTGAAAATGGGATCACTTTGGTGAGCCTGTCCTGAGGGCAGCTCCCCTGCCTCCCACCACACCTGGAGGTTCGCATGAATCTTCTGCTAGAAATGCAGTATCCTGGCAGAATGGACGGAATCATGGCCTCAGACATAGCCAGCTCCCAAGTCTGGTTATTATATGAGGAAAAGAGGTTTTATATACGTGATTAAGAATCTGAACACAGGGAATCTATCCCAGATGATCTGGACTAGCCTTAAATCTGATCACATGTGTCATTCTGAGAGGGTGGCAGAGGGAGATGTGATATGTACAGGAGAGGAGGAAAGTGGCCATGGAGATGGAGACAAGGGGACATGGCCAGGGTCAGGCCATCACTAGCAGCTGCAGTAAGCAACAAATGGACTTTCCTCTAGAGCATCTGAAGGGAGCCCAGCACTGCCAACACCTTGACTTCATTGCAGGGAAGCTGATTTCAGACATTTGACTCATAAAACTACAAGAGAATAACTTTCTGCTGTCTTAAGTCACCACCATTGGAGTGACTTGTTACAGCCCTCACTGGACCTTTCTCACCATCTTCTGAAACAGGTTCTCTGGAGCTCTGGAATCTGCTTTTTGGACAGGTATCCAAATTCAGGCTGAAAGGTAATATCACTCTAAGCCAGGGTCTCTAAAGAGGCTTGATCACTCCAAGGAATGTAGGAGATAAATCTCAATAATATAAATAATATGGCATTAAGTGTATATAATTTGTAAAAAAAAAGTGAAAATATTTTATGATATGTGCTTTAAGACTTTCTACTGGTACAGTTAAGTCAATGCAGCTCTATCAAACTTTATATGATAAGAATATCTGTATCTGAGCTATCCAATATGGGAGTCAGAAGTGCTAGAGAATACTTGAAATGTGGCTAATGCCATAGGAGAATCAAAGCTGCCATTTTATTTAACCTTGATTAATTTAGATTTTAAAATTTAATTCGATTTTGAAAGTCATATTGGCTACTATGCAGATAATGCTGAGAGTCTACTTACATGAGCTACATCTTTCCAATCTGTTGGCATGTGAGAACTACAAGAGCAAGTATTTGGGAGTATTTTCTTCACCACTATATCCTGACTTTCTGGAAGTACATAGTAGGTGCTGCACAAATATTCGTCAAATAAGTGGATGAATACATTGAGAAGGGAATGTCTCCTGCACTCTTTTAGAAGAAAAACAAATAGACCATGAGTGCCTCCTGGCCTTAGTTCTCACTCCAGTTGTGAGGATGCTGGAGCTCAAGGAGGAAAAGCATCTTTCCAAAACCCACACAGGAAGTGAAAGAAACAGAACCTGGCATTCCTGGCTCCTAGCTTTTCTCTCTTCACACCTGACCCTCCTAGATGCACTCTTACCTGTTCCCATGACAATACCGCTCACCATTAAAGATGGTGGCCTCTGCTCACCACTCTCTCTTACCCGCATATAGAATTCGCGACCCTCATTCCCAGATTTGATCTGGAAAATATAGTAGGCTCCAGGGTAGCGGGTTGTGGCTTGCATCTGGAAGATGTCAGCAGGAACAGAACGTCCTGACACCACATCCATGTCCCGGAACAAGATGGTGAAGGGCTGGTCTCTACAGCCAGTATTCTCAGCGGGGCACATACAGCGGCTGGTGGGAGAAAAATCATGCGAGAAAGCTCAGCAAATCCTCTCCTGGTGCAGGTTGTGCTTCAACTCTCGCTCAAAACAATGAGGCTACACCTTTCCTATCACCAAATGCTATAACTGGAGAGCTGGCTCTGTTCTCAAAAGTCGCCAGCCTGTAGATAAGTTCTGCTTTCTAGAAAACAGCCTTTTCTATCATCAGATATTCTGGCAACTAGAGGATACAAATTACATCTCTGGTTTTCAGAACACAGGCACATCCTTGAATGTGCTTTACAGTCGTTAAAATGTGCGGATGGACACGTAGTCCCTTCCCTTCCCAGCCCAAAGATGCTCATTAAGACAATTTTAAAAGTGAAAATTACATCAATGAGTCCCATGGATCTTCTTACCCTCTCTATTGTACTTAGCCCATATTATATTCTGTATAGAATATAATTGAATCTTTTCATTAGATAAACAAAAGCTCAGAACTTACCGTGCACAAGACATGACATTAGACACTTGGAAATTTAATAACCAAGACTGTGACTTCAAATAGCTTACTTTCTACTAAGAGGAACAAATTAGAAACATAAATTATCTATCATATAAAGTAGCTAATTTGAAACACTAACCACAGCATGTCCTCATATAAAATCATTGACATTTAATGCCACCCCAATTTATCCCTGGCCCCTCCCTTACTCTCCCCCCTCCCTCCTTCTCCCCCTGCCACTCCTCATTATTGAGACTCCTTGTAAGAAGTGCAATTCATAAAAGAATGAGTTCAGCTCTGGACCTGTGCCCCTGTGTTCAACACGGCAGGTTAATACTGCTGGTTTTATAGCACTCTCTCTCCACTCCCAATCTAGCCACAAAACCTACCGGTTCTACTGTTAAAATAGGTTCCAAATCTATCTCTTTGTCACTATCGCCATGTCCTGGCCATCCAAGCCTCCATCACCTCTCACCTGGGCCCCTGTGGTAGCCTCCTAACAGGACAGAGTATCCCTTGTCACACATAAATCAGACTAGCTCTTTTCCTTGTGTGAGACTCTGCAGTTACCTGCTGCAACTTGAGTGAGCATTAAACACCCATTTTAGCTTGCAAGACCCTACAGGATCTGGCCTCTGTCAACTTCTCTTGCTACTTCTCACTACCTACACTCCTCAGACTACAGCAACTCAACTTCTTCTTTCCAGCTCATCAAAGTTACTCTTGGCTTTCAACTGCTCCCTCTGCTTTTCCCCTCTCAGTTTAGTTAACATCAACTCACCTCTCCAGCTTAGCCCTCAGGTCATTTCCTCAGTGGGGCCTTTAGACTCCCAAGTCTAGAACAAGTCTAGTCTCCTCTTCCTTTTCCTTGTAAACTTTCCTGTTTTCTGTTGAGAGAACCTGTCCCAGTCTATGACTGTGAATTCATTTATGCACCAGTTTGCTCAATGTCCCATTCTTCCACTTCACTGAGCTCCACAAGGGCAAAGCCCACAGTACCTTGCAAAGAGCAGGCGCTCCACTAAGAGTTAACAAATGAGAAAGACATACAAAGAATTAGCCAAGCTGCATCCAAATAGCCAAGTCAAAATATCTCTGGTGCCAAGACAGCCACATTAAAACATCATGTGTCACACGATGTTTTAAAATAAGTACTTCCTAAAAGAAATTTGGAGGAGGGATCGCTGGCTCCCAGATGAAGAAGATCACGAATAGCTGAGAGAGAGGGCATTTGAGCAGAGATCTGAAAGATGGGGTGAGTCCACTGAGACAGAAGGAATGCCTTCCATCTGGCAGGAAGTGTGTGTGCAAAGGCAGGGAAGCTGGGCACACGGGGCAAGGGTGCCGGTGAGAGCAAATCCTGTTCTGACTGGCGGGAGCCCAGGACACCTGAGTTAGTGGGCAAGAATCAAAGAAGAGAAGAACCAAGTATTTTCAGTGCCAGGGATGAGACTTGGCTGGTAACACCAGCTCAGAGCTGCCAGTTGAACAGGATCAGTTCCCAGTCACAGACAAACCCAGGAAGAACCAGGCACAGAAGCTGGCGAGAACAGCCTGGAGCTCTGTGCTCTGCTACAAAGAGCCCTTGAACCACAAGTCCAAGAGTCTTGTTCTAAAGGGTTGCTTGGAAGCACAATTCTTAACAAGTGAAGATGGTTCTGAAGGATCAACCTGTCCTGGATTTGTTGTCTTTTTGCCTATGTTGATCAAAATAGGAACTATATTAGAAAGCCATGATTCCGGCCTCTTATAAATGCCTCAGTCCAGAAGGGGGTGGGGGTGGGGCGGCTGATGTATCTCAGGCTCTCTACTGAAGACTTGGAGTTACTTAGGGGTGGTAACTGTGTGGCTGACTGGAGAGAGGAGGTGTGTGTGTGTGTGTGTGTGTGTGATGTGTAGTCTGAGTTGGAACTGATATGGTACAAAAGGGGCTAAAAGAGAAGGAAAAGGAACTTGTAAGATGCTAAGCTCAGGAAACAATGTCCTAGCACATTTGCCTTATTGAAGATGTCTTCTCTTTATTTTCTCTTCTCTGTGCTAGTATATATCCTCTGGTGATTTTTTTTTTTTTTTGTCGGCCGTGGGGCTTGAACTCTGGGCCTGGGTGCTGTCCCTCAGCTCTTCAGCTCAAGGTGAGTGCTCTACCACTTGAGCTACAGCGCCACTTCCGGTTTTCTGGTGGTTTATTGGAGATAGGAGTCTCACAGTCTCTTCTGCCCGGGCTGGCTTTGAACCGCGATCCTCAGATCTCAGCCTCCTGAGTAGCTAGGATTACAGGCGTGAGCCACCAGTGCCCGGCTCCTCTGGTGATTTTGTGAGGCTTTGGTCATGATGAAGTCAGAAACCTGATTAGAGCAAACTAAATATCCTCAAGTATTGAGAATTCTCTAGAGAAAGCTTCAGCAACTCGCCACTCACAGAACAGTCTCAGGAGATCAAAAGCCCCCCCCCCCCCCAGGAGCTTGTCTGAAAAGCAGGCCTACTACATCTTGAATGTGCACTCATTGTCAGGTAAGGAAGGCTCTGTCTGGTTTACCTGAGATGCCCAGATCTGAAAGACATAGTCATGAAAAGGAAAAGGAATTTCATGAATCCTGACTTTCTATTTGGTTAGCTTCCTAGAAAACCATCATGCAGCTTAGGTGTGAGTGGGGAGAGTGGCAGAGAAGAGAGTTTGTGTGCACAGACACACAGACACACATATTCTGTGCACACACACACACACACACACACACACACACACACACCTCTACACACACATACACAGTGCATAGTCAGGTCTCCTAAATTCTTGGCTGGTGCATTCTCCTTTACAAGACGTGGTCAGCCTCCTGAACCAGGTCCTCACCTACCTAAGGGTGAGTGATGACTTACTTATCACCAATCAGCAGATAAGGTTCCTCACAGCGGATGGGGTCGATGCATTTGAACCCCCCTTGTAAATTGTAGCAAGTCTGTAGCGGGGTGCAGGTATGGTTTCGGTGCTCACACTCATTGATGTCTGAAATGTGGGGTGGACAGGAAAAAAAAAAGTGTTGGTTCCAGACCTTGTGAGTGCAGTCAGGAGGCGCGAGCCACCTGGCCTTACCGAGTTACACTACTCAATATGGCAGCCATTGGCCCCGTGTGGCTCTCATTAGGCCATAGAAATGTTGGTATTATAAATTGAGATATGCTATAAGAAATATAGCAGATCTCTATGAATTAGTACATATAGCTATATATTCAGTATCTCATTCATCATTTTTATGTTGAATATGTGCCAAAATGATCAGATTTTGGATTGGCTATGCGAAGTAAACTACAGGTTTAAAGTAATTTCTCCTGTGTCATTTTTATTGCTTTTTAATTTGGCCACTTGAAAAATATAAGATTATATCGATGACTCCCACTTGTAGTTCACATGATATTCTTTTTGCCCAAACAGGACCACGGAGAATGCTCGCTCAATATTTGGGATAAGGCAGCTTTCAGGAGACTGATCACGGAGCAGCTACTTCTGTATAGACCCAAGCAGGGAGAGTGTGGGGCTGTCAATCTGGACAATCATCATCAAGCCCTTTCTCAGCCCAGGGTCTGGACCCTCCGCGGAACCTTGCTAGGTTTCTCATGTGCACAAGCTCTTGTTAGCATTCAGCTGCTAGGAAGCCAACAAGGGCAAGCTGAGCAAGGCCCCACAAGGCCTGGTAAGAAACCCAGCTCTGGTCCCCAAGTAGGGCCTGATCACAAGTTGTGGTTGAGTCTAGAGCAATGCTCAGAGAGGGCAGAAGATCCACCTGGTCAGGCAAGAACCAGCCCCCAGGAAGTGCTATCTACCGCTCCACATTTTGTTACTGTGGGTGGCCCATGTCACAGAGGAAGGCATTAGCTCGGATATCTTGTCCAGGGCTGCCACTCTAGGACCCATCAGCACCCACTCATATTCCACCTCCCGGAAGCTACACAGGACTCCTCAGCCCTGTCTGCAGATAACCACCTGAGCCAGCTCTGGCCTTTGGATAATCTTACCCTGGCAGCTTCGATTGTCATCCAGCAAGATGTAGCCTGGTGGGCAGGAACAGAAGTATGTGCCAGGCTGGTTCACACACTCATGCTGGCAAAGGAATTCGGAGAAGCTGCACTCATCCATGTCTAGGGGTTGGGGGTAGGGTGGTAAGAGGAGAGACAGGTTACATTTGCCATGTTAGTGTCACAGAATATCTGGAGATGGGGCCTGAGTAGTCCTCCATTCTAACTCATGCATTCTCCTAATAGATACGAGGACTTTACTGCCACGAAGATATCAACTCACGTCTTGAACACTTCTGACCACAGGAAGCTCATCACCCAGTGGGGCCCATTGAGACTTGGACAGCTCTAATGGTTAGAAAATTCCTCCAGCAAGCTTCCCACATCCTCGCCTATGGCTCAACCGCATCATTGACTCGTTACTGACAATGTACTTGCACTGTTGGAGCGCCCCTCCTCCTCTGACCTGCCCAGGGGACCTGGATTTGCTTATGCACTTGGGTTATGGGTGCAGACCTCTTCCCCAAGGCCCCAAACCATTCCCTGGGTCAGGTTTTTCACTGGACAACCTTAACAGGGTCCACAAGGGAGGAACAATATTGTTCCCATTGCCCAGAAGGGGGGTGGAACCCATTACATTCAAACATCATTGGACCAAAAAGAAATGTAAAAAATCTTGTAAGAGAAAAGTGCAGGGTGTCCTGGGGTAAGTAAGCCCCCAGTCTCCTATATTCTGCCTGCCTTGTTTGCTCCTGGGACAAGGGACACATTGGCCTCTAGCCAGCCTTAAACTAGCCAGGCCAGGGCCTCCCTCTGGCTGTCCCCATGAAAGTAGGGAATCTCAGCAGCAGAAGCAGGAGGTCCAGAAAAGCCAGCCCTTCAGTCACATACAGAGTTTGGCAACAGAGTCCCCATTTGTGCCTCATTCAACAAACACGCCAAAGAAAACATGTTTTTCTTGAATTTGTTGTTTCCCGAAAACTTGCTTTCACTAGTTTCCCCATGTGACATGTCCTTGGATTACTCTGTAGCTCACAGGCCACTGGTGGCTCAGATCACCCAGAGAGGCTGTCAGCAGGAAGCAGGTCTTTCCCCCACGGTGGGAGAATGCCAGGTGTGACACACCTGCATCTGACAGGGAAAACTAGGCTGATTCTCTGCAGTAACATCTGTTTCTGCTGGGTCTCCCCAGAGAGAGAGAGAGAGAGAGAGAGAGGAGAGAGATGGATCCCTGACCCCAGTCCACCATGTCACAAAGAGGTCCTTATTTATTTCTGTGAAGTTTTCAAGTGTCCTTTCTTCTTTAAGGAGACTTAGTAGTGACACTGCCAGTTCTTGAGGCTTGCTGTTTGCCCAGCATGGGGTGGGGGTGGGGGTGGCGCACGGGGCGGGGAGGGGGATGTGTGAAAGGAACTGACAGGTCTCAATTATTTAATCCTACCTCAAGCCTGCCAGGGAAGCGCTGTCACTGTCTGTATTTTCCAGAAGAAAAATTGAGGCTTGCAGAGGTTAGGCAATTTGACCGAGTTCACAGATAATGAACAAGTAAATAGAAAAGCTGGGATTTGAACGCAGCCAACATCTAGATTTGATGCTAGTAAACACGATGCTGTAATATCCCCCTGAGTAATGATGTGCAAGACTTCCAACCAATGGATTTGGGAGGGTCCTGCAGTGGGGAGGGGGATCCCCCCAACAAGGTTAGCTCCAGTGCAGATGAGGGGGCGCACAGTGACACCCACCCCTGCCTTGCATTGAGGAGGAAGGGGGAGTAACTGATCTCGGCTCTAGCTTTATCTTTGGGTCCACAATTCCCAGACATCACTCACAAAGGGCTATGCTCCACCCTCCACTAAAAAGCTGAAATCCAAGACTGGTTTCTGGCAGGGAGCACACATTAGACCATTTTCATTCCTCCCCATGAAAACCCTACCATGGTTTCCAGGATCAGATCTGCCTAGTAAAGCCCTAAGGGACCAGGAGACAAGGCCGGCAAGGGTCTGCTGTTACCCAATGGGGCACAGTGAGGACAATGTTCCCTGGGGAGATGGAGGAGCATAGATAAGTAGGAAAGTGCAGAAAGAAACTCCTTGTGTCACACTTTTATTCAGGGCCATTGTTAGTCTGTTCATAAAGTCTGTGGTAGACAGAGGGTCATATCACCAAGGAGGAGTTGGCCATTTTAGGAAACGTGAGTCAAATGAAAATCCTTGCCAAGCCAGCAAGGATTTGAGTTCTTCAAGAAGTTATAAAAAGTCTGCATGGATAGAAATATCACAGCCAAAGTCCTTGTACAATCAATACATGCTAATTTATTAAAAAATAATAATAAGAGCAAGGTGCCCGTGGCTCATGCCTGTAATCCTAGCTACTCAGGAGCTGAGGATTGCGGTTCAAAGCCAGCCCCGGCAGGAAAGTCTGTGAGACTCTTATCTCCAATTAGCCATCAGAAAACAGGAAGTGGCTCAAGTGGTAGAGTGCATGCTTTGAGCTGAAGAGTTGAGGGACAGTGTCCAGGCCCAGAGTTCAAGCCCCATGTCTGAACCCCCCAAAAAATTAATTAATTAAAAATAAGGGAAAGAAGATAATCCAAAAGTTCTGAAGATTTCCTTAGGGGAGTAAAGGTCAACTACTGTTTTTATGAGACATGCTCTTATAGCCACTGAATGAAGGTGGTTAGTTAACTGGGTGGTTGTTGAACTAGGAGTAAACAGGCTCAGAAAATTCCTTGGCTAAAGAAAGGCGCAAACAATAGAGGCAGAACTTGAACTTAGCTCCATTTGGCTCGGGAATCTCTCATACTGGCTCCACAGGTGGCCAGTAAATAAGTGCCTGTGGATCTGCAAGCAATTCTGGAGAAAGAACAACCCCATCTTGTAAGCTGAACGTCCCATACCTTTGGTTTCATGGCCCAGATTCCCCAAGGAGCACCACAGTGGGGAACGGAAATCTAAGAAGAAAGTGGCCTTTCATGCTGCTGAGTATTTTTTTTTTTTACTGCGTCTAGGACTTTAATCAGGCCAAGGTTCTCTGTAACTGTCTGCTTGGGGCTCTGACAGGCAGGGCCTGGCTCTGGCTAGCAAGAGGCTCTCATTTGTTTCTGAGAATTCGATCTCTAGAACACTTTAGCTTCCCCTGAAGCTAATAAACAAATCTCATTCATAGCCCAGGTCAGTTCCTGTCACAATTTCCATTGTGTAGAACAAAAGGATTTTCACACCCTTAGCACAGCCCACTTATCTTGGAAAGTACAGGGAAGCATTATTAATTCCGACTTCACTAATGATAACTCTTGATATTGAAAAGTAGATGGAATGGATTTTACTTTTATGTAACACTTACAAAAGAGACAGGAAGAGGGGAGGGAAAGTTGTTCCTGGCTCTGTATGAGATGTTACAGAGTAAACACAGGCCAAAAGTGGCCCTATTCTCAAAAGAGTTAATAGTTTATCAATAGTTTTGTAACTACTGAGGAAATTAAAGCTTAACTTTCTGGGGAAAGGAGGAGGTTAATAGGAGCATTAAAATAGAGTCCACAAACTAACATGGGTAGAGACTGACAACTCATGCTTGAAAAGTCAACAGGCTTGGCATTGGTGGCTCATGCCTGTAATCCTAGCAACTCACGAGGCTGAGATTTGAGGATTACTGTTCAAAGTCAGCTCAGGCACCAAAGTCTGAGAGACTCATCTTCAATTAACCAGCAAAAAATCAGAAGTGGAGTTATGGCTCAAGTGGTAGAGTACCAGACTTGAGTAAATATGCTCACGGGCAGCATCTATGATGAATGAAATAATCTAGATTGAGGAAGATAAATGTTTCATGCCCTCTCTCTCCTATGTGAAATCAAGATCTGAAAATGGAATGGATGACAGGAACGTGGAACTGTTTGAAATATGTGTACGGAAGGGGGGACCCAAGGGAGGAGGGAGAGAGAAAGGGCAGGGTAGTGAGTAAATCTGACAAGTATTTCATATACATGTATGAAAGTAGACCAATGAAACTGGCTAGAAATTGTTTGGAGGGGAGGATAAGAAAGAGTAATAGAGAGGATGGATTTGATTAGATAGTATATTATATGCATGTATGGAGATATCACAATGAAACCACTCTGCAATTAGCGTATGCTAATATAAAAACAGAGAGAAAAAAAAATCTCATTCATTCAACATTCAAGCTTTCATTCACCAGTCCAAGAACTATTGATTACATGCCCACTTAAGTGCCAGGCCCAGAATTGGGTATTGCTTATTGGTAGATTGAAAAAGCTCACAAAATATATGCACTTATGTACAGGATTTATTTATTCAATCCCTCCTACCTAAATGAGCTATGCAATTATCCCTGAGGCACTGCTTTCTATAAATACAACCTGTGCTACCCCAGGACTTGGAGCAGTGCTGGGTGAGAACAGAGCTCACATACTAACAGGCAAAGTTGGGTGACTCCCTTCCTCATTAACCTCATCTCAGACCTGCACAGTTCCTCCACTGACTTTTGCATTAAGGGTCAGATGACCAGTAAAGTTAGACTCCACCCACCCACCTCACAGGTTCATCTCTTTTCTGGTGTGATTGTAATCCTATGACACTGGGAATCATCTCTAACTTTCCTGGACTTGTGTCCAGGAAATGAGAGGAAACATCTGTGAAGGAAATCCTTGCCCCACATCCCTATACCCTATATACAGATGGAAATCTCCAATGCCAGGCCCATTACCACTGCAATTGACGCCATCATCCTCCAGTTCATATCCTGGGTCACAGCGGCAGATGAAAGAGCCATAGGTGTTGACACAAGTTTGCACGCAAGGGTTCTCAGTTGCACACTCGTTCACATCTGCAGAAAGCCAAAATACATCACTGACTTCATACAACAGAATAGCCACACTCGCAAAGAAGAAAACCCGCACCAGCAACAAAAATCTATTATGGCTAGAAGCACAGACTTATAGGTACCAAGGATCTCCATCTAGGACCTATCGAATTACAATGTCAGACTATTGTCCACTGGAGGACTAGGGCCTTTATGTGCAGGCCCTTCTGGGATAGCCAATCAGGAAGGGAGAGAAACAGCATATATACACAACAAAGGTGAATATATGTATATCATTTGTACATATTCTTGTTAACAAATCTGCTATCTAAAGGTCACCCACAGTTTCCAGATAGTACTTATTCTTTCCCTACATTTGATCACTAATGAGCCTTCCACTCATCCTTACTATTTGTGACTAATCTAATAATATATTTATTATGTAGAAGTAGCTCCAACTACCTGAATCCTTATTAAAACAAACAAACAAACAAACAAGCCGGGCGCTGGTGGCTCACGCCTGTAATCCTAGCTACTCAGGAGGCTGAGATCTGAGGATCGCGGTTCAAAGCCAGCCCAGGCAGGAGAAACCATGAGACTCCTATCTCCAATAAACCACCAGAAAACCGGAAGTGTCGCTGTAGCTCAAGTGGTAAAGCGCTCGCCTTGAGCTGAAGAGCTGAGGGACAGCGCCCAGGCCCAGAGTTCAAGCCCCACGACCGACAAAAAAACAAAAAACCAACAACTCTGCTTTGGGACCATTTTGTAGGTTCAGTAGGCTAAGATGACCATAAATGGGGCATTCATCAGCTTGAGCATGGTGGTCATTTCCTATCAAAACTAATGAAATTATGTTTCTGCAATAGTGAACTTTATTGTACATCAAATTCTACATCAACAAAGCGATGTAGATGCTGTTGTAGATTGAGCCAGGCCCCAGTCCACATGCTAACAAGATCTTGGTTGGAAGTAGAACATGAGTCAAGGGTCTTTCCACAATCCACAAGATTCATATCTCATGGCGTCTTAGGATGACAGAGACAAGGGGAGCCTTTCTGATGTTGGCATTGATCGGCCCTCTACCAGCGTCATATACTCCACATGCCAATGACTGAGATGCCCACTGGGGGGTCTTCTGCCCAGCTCAACTACTTAAGGTTCTGAATAGTGTGTTCTCAGAAGCTAAGATCTTCATGGTGTGAGTTTGAGGGGCTCTACACAAAACAAAGGATTAATCTCATGCTCACAAAGCTCCTGAATTCTGCTGTCTTTGGAGCTCTCAAAGGAAAGAAATAAATGAATTCCCTGTAGCACAGGCCCACTGAGATTCCAGTCTTCTCTGGTGACCATGTGAGGTTGAATTTTCTCCACCTGGGCTCAGCAGAAATCCCATTGCTTAAACTGAGTGTTGAGGTCACATGGGCCAGTGCTAGAATAGATCAGGATGGAATTCCCCAGCTTCTGGCTCCACACGGGTCACATAGAAATAAATGAGCTCAGCCGTATCCTCCCAAAGCTCACAGAGGCTTCTGAGAACAGAACTGAAAAGATCCCAGCCTCTGGGCCTAACTGCCCTTCCCTGCTAGCCCTCGCCGAAGTGCCCCTCTACATCCTGAGAGGGTAACGCCTGATGTGCAAGGTTGGGAAGCTCACCCTTGCTTTCTCTCTCAACTTCATCATCACCTGAATGCCTGACTTTTGTCAATTGTCTTAGCCTATTTGAGCCTGGACTTCCTTATCAATGAGCAGGACCACAAACACCTGCCTGCCTATTGTTAGGATTCAGTGAGGATAACAGCCATACCATGCTTTGAGGAGGATAAGCTCTCTTTCACATGGGTGAGGGGCTGAGATGGCAAAAACTCCATGGCGGCCAGGTGCTGCTGGCTCACGCCTGTAATCCTAGCTACTCAGGAGGCTGAGATCTGAGGATTGCGGTTCAAAGCCAGCCCGGGCAAGAAAGTCCATGAAACTCTTATCTCTAATAAGCCACCAGAAAACTGGAAGTGGCTCTGTGGCTCACGTGGAAGAGTGCTGGCCTTGAGCTGAAGAGCTGGGGGACAGTGCATGACCGACCAAAAAAAAAAAAGCTCCACAGTCCATCATAATCTGTATTGCCTACTACTGCTGACACAACATCCCGGTGGCTTCATGCCCAGATCCAAGTGCCTGCTGTTTTATCACACTGCTGGGGTTGGCATTGCCAAATGTATTAACTGCTCTTTGTCACACATCCGTCTCTGAGAGGCCTAAGGACACATGTGGCTTTTGGCTTTGCTATGCATGGCTGCCCCTCTGGAGGTACTGGCTGGGTTGCACCGTGCCAACCTCTGAGGGAAAAATCTGGGCTGGCACCTCCAGGGCCCAGCCTTGGCACCAAGAAGTCGGCATCTGCCCTAAGCAGCTTATCGCAACAGCAGAGGAGCCAGGCACCCGCTCCCTGCTCCAATGGGAAGGAAGGGCCCTGCTCTCAACTTCCTCAACCTCCAGGCCGGGCTCTGTTCTCACAAGAAAACCACTTCTCCTGGCAAGAGGAGCCCGGCAGAGACTTTTTGGAACAATTAGCCGAACCAGCTTTGGAGGCAAGCCTCACAACGAATCCAGATTCAAACCCTTGAACGCTGATGCCTTCCTGTTTACCCAGTGATTTAGATATGATTAAACTAATGGAGACATAATATCCTCTGACTGGCTGGCCAGGAGCCTGAGAGCCAGAACTCACTCAAATAGTGTGACAAGTAAACGGGCCCAGTGGAACCTGGTGGCCGGCTCCAACAAAGACCTCATTCTGATCTCTGATGCTGCCAGGGACCCGGGGGCCTGGCCGGGGCTAGGGTGGGGAGCCTGGGGGCCAGAACGTGTCCTGTGTTAATTCCCTGAGTCTTTAGTCTCTTGTTCACTTCCTGAGAAGAAATCTTCTGATGGAAACAGAGATAGACACGCAGCTTGCTTTTCTTACTGATCAACATTCAAAGTGAACATGTGAAACCAGAAAGTGCCTTTCATTCCAACTTCTCAGGCCATGCTGAGAAAAGTATCTTCCACCTGGCCCCCTCCAACTCTTTCCTAGGCAACAGACCCCCTCCTGGCATAGGTCAGAGGGGAAAACCTCGTGAGTGACTTTGAAATTATTCACAAACCCTTGCAACATGTGTATGCATTCATTTTGTGATCCATCAGGAGACAGAGGACCCTCAGATCCCTCACTGGTCCTCCGTAACTGAACTTAGGGATACAGGACATGTGAGAAATTGTCTGATAAGTTAGAAAGCTACTGGCTAGCAAACACAGAAAGAGAGGCAGCTCCACAAACCCGACGACTGTAATTCTGGACTCTACAATACTCAGAGCACCTTCTGAGCTGTTTCACATTACTCCAGTTCAGGTCTCAGGTTTCTGTAAGCCACGGGGATGAGGGAGACGTGACAAGGATTAGGAATCCACTTTAACGACCGTGTTTCACAGACAGGAATAGTCATGCTCTGAAAGAGACTGCATCTCTTATTTCATACCACGTCCAAGTTCTGCACATCACATACCTTGGCAAGACCTTCCATCCTCATTGAGGGTGAAACCAGGGTTGCATGTGCAGGAATACGATCCAGGAACATTTGCACAGAGCTGCTGGCAGTAACCATAGCGACATTCATCAATGTCTGGAAACAGAAATACAAGCAGGTAAGACAGCTCTCCCGGACACCATCACCAGGGTGATGTGTCAGGAAAGAAGTACCAAGAATAGAGCTGCCCTCTGGGTTATAAGAGTCCACCACTGTGTACGCATTATCCTGCCCATGTAATTGTAACCCCTCTGTACAGTATGTTCACAAATAAAATAAAATTAAATTAAAAAAAAAAGAGTCCACCACTGTACAAACCATTGACCTCACGGAACCCTCTTGGTTTCATGAATACCTAAACCTCTCCTGAAAGTTACTGCAAGAAATGTCTTCTTTGAGTAGGCAAGATGGCATCCCCAAGTTTATGAAAGTCTAAGAGGTAACAAAGATTTCTGCAACATGAAGGTTTGGCTCTGATTCCATCCGAACCTCTCACTGCCCTGGGAAGGGACATGTTAGTTTAACATGTCTGAAGAATTCACAGCAGTGCTCCAGCGTGCTCCCTGCCCAGCCCATGAACAATTAATATGTGCAGCTGTCAGGAACAAGAGCTGCTGTAGGCCAGGATGAGCTCTGCAGGGCTCCAGGGAGCCCTAGGAATCCACTAACCCAAGGATGTCCGCATTCCCATTGGCTCTTGTTCTTGCACTGGAGCAGACATAAAACTCTGGATAAACCCACTTCTTCTGAGCCATAGCTGGACTTCCTAGGGGAGGCAGCAGTGCAGTGGTGAACGGAGCTGTTCAGCAGAGCTGGGTAATCTGACCTCCCTCTCTGTCACATATGCCAACACACAGGGAGCTTGATGTCAGCAGGAGAGCACTTCTTAGAGTGCCTGGTTAAGGGGGTGCTGGGCTAGACAATCCATTCCTGTAAGGCAAGGTGTCTTGAAAGAACCCATCAGCCTCTGGGAGGCGACGGTGGCCTCACTGTACAGAGTCCTACCAGTGCATCCGATTGAAGCTAGAACGAGTCCTATTCTCATTCCTTCTTCTCCCACGAAATACCCACATTCCCACCATATCCTTGGAAGCCTCTGGATTAAGCTCGCACCTCAGCCTCTGCTGTCAGCTTCTTCTACCTGCCGTCGAAAAGCATTCTACTTTCCTGACCCCATCTCAAGCTTCTGCTTCTTATTCAATCCTCATCAGATTCTAGGCCCTGTCTTGTGACTATATTTTCTCTGACACCAGCTATGTCTAACCTGGCCCAGCCCACTGCCCTCTGAAGGCTGAGCAGCTCCTGCTTGGAAAGCCCATTCGCTTGTACAAGTTCTTCCCATGGTGCAGTTGGGCAGGTCATCCACACCTGGGGAAGCAGCAGGGGTCAACGAGGAGACCTTTCTTCTGGGAGTGCCTGGGAAGAAAGGCAGCCCCTGTCTCTCCTTTTCCTGTGAAACTAATGCCTCCAAAGGTGCACAGAAGGCTTGACAGGTAGCCAGCCATGGAATGTGCATTTGGAAAGAGAAAGAAAAGTTTGGCCCAGTTATGAGTTCCGCCACAGTCAGGAATGGTCTTCAACTTACATGTGAGCATGAGTGGGCTGTGCCACACATAGCACTGCATTAGGCCCCCGTGATCACCCCTCCCCAGATTTTCCACTCTGGGGAAGAGAACAAGCCCTCCCAGGTAGAGGAATGTCTCTGTTGTTGGCACCCCTCACATGGAAGGGTTTCTTAGTCCTAGGGTTTCTATAATGGGCCACTGTACCCTGGTTTCCTCTACCTCTCTAGCACCCCTTGCTGGTGGGAAAAAAAAAACATGTGTGCAGCAAGACCTCATGCTAAACCCAACTGACTCTTTGTCCCAAATTCTCCTCTTCTTTGAGCTTATCTCCATCCCTATTAAAGTCAGATGACATAATATCTAATCTCTCTTTCCAGCTCTGAAATCCTACATGTGAAGTTCCTGTGCAAACAACTGTCTCTCATGGATCTGCTTATGTTCAGATCAGCAGCATCAGATTTTCCGTTAAGAGCAGAGGTTCTAATGCACAGGGGCTGTCATATTCACGAATGCCCGAGTGCACGAGCTCTTCTGTGCATGTCGGGAAAGGAGAAGCAGGCCAAGTCTAGGCGGCTTATCAGAACATGTTGGGCAGGTCAAGGGAACAGACCCAAATGTAGACTCAACCAAGACAGACTTGGAACGAGCCTCCTTTGTAATTTTTCCCCCTTTTTTTTCTTTTCTTTCCTTTCCTTTTCTTCTTTTCTTTTCTTTTTGGTACCAGTTGTGGGGCTTGAACTCAGAGCCTTGGCACTGTCCCTTAGCTTTTGCGATCAAGGCTAACATTCTACCATTTGATCCATAGCTCCATTTCCAGATTTGGGGTGGTCAACTGTAGATCATAGTTTCACAGGCTTTCTGTCTGGACTGGCTTCAAACTGCAACCCTCAGACCTTAGTCTCCCAAGTAACTAGCATTGCAGCCACGAACCAGGCTTCCCTCTCTTGTCAGCTCTCTTTCCCTCTCTCTCTTTTTCTCCCTCTTTCCCCCTCCCCATGTTCCCTTCCCCATTTCCCTTCCCTCTGCCCTCCTTTCTCCCTCCCTCCCTGCCTCCCTCCAGGATTGACTTTCAGGCAATAGAATAATGTCTTAGGCCATTTAAACTAGAAGGACTTTTCCAAGAAAATACAGCCTCAAAAATCACACCCTAGAAGTAGAAATTGAAGTGACAGCTAGAGATTGCCATGGATTCGTTCACTTGGCTAAACCAAGTCTAGATGGGAGGAGAGGAGAAAAGCCCTCCAGTAAAAATAAACAGAAAGATCGCGTGGCAGGTGGCAACTGCAAGAGGCAAAATTCTCAGTTGGTGACAGCTGACTCCTTTGGGATGGAAAGAAAGATTATAGCTAATGGGGTGGGCACTGTGGGGGGCAGACTCTGGGGCGGGCATCAGGGATGATTCTGGAAGGAGGTGATGTCTGATTGGAATCTACCGATTGTCTTTTGAGGTATGGAATATCTCTGTAACTAATCACAAGTATTCCCTTGGCTTAGTTTTATTTCTAAGTAGAACAGAACATCCCTCACTTCTATCCCTTCCTGAAGGAAGGGATACACTTCCTGAAGGTAGGGAGAAGGACTAGGTAAAATCAAACTTGAGCCCCTAAAAAAGCCTTCAAAAGCCATAATGATGATATAATAGTGCTGGCGGCCAATGACTGCAGTTGGTGGTGATACAGGTAAGCCCATTCATGGCTTTCCACACCACCCACCTATGCCCACATCTCACCGTATCCTTGGCAACCACCCACTTCCCAGAGTCCCTGTGAGCCCCAGGAGCTCTTACCTAAGCACTGGCCTTCCAAAAGCCAGTAGCCATCCGTGCAGGAGCAAGTGTACCCGCCCTCCGTGTTGATGCAGATCTGGGTGGGGTTGCACTGGTGAGAGTCCGTTGCACACTCATCCACGTCTGTAACACACAAATATTCCAGAGAATGTCACTTGCATCTTCTTAAGGGCCTGGGAGCCACCAGGTGCCAGCTGCTTGTCTGTGGTAGGTGAGACGCCGTGAATGTTGTTTCTACCCAGGAGATGCAAGCGTCCCCTGATAGGCACTGTTAGGAAGACACTGGTGTCCAATTGAGGGGGGGGAGCAGGACTAGTGTGCTTCCATAAAGGGGAGCAGCTGAGACGGGAACACATAGCTTTTGGCACTCTTCTGCTTTACTATGCCCTTGCTCTCCGAAAGGACGCCACCTAGACAACAACCACGGCTTGATTTAGAAAGGCATTCCGTATTAGATTTATTTGTTTGCACATTAAAGAGGGTTCTGTGTGCACAAGACTCTGCCATCCACTGAGAGCCTAGCAGAAGAAAAGGAAATGTTCCCTGCCACCAGAAACCTGACTGTATTTGTCCGGGAAAACCATTTGGATGAATGCTCCCTGGGCTTCCTGGAGCCTTTGGTTTTCTGGGCTAACAGAAGGATTGGAGTGAAAACACGCACCCATCAGGTTCATCCCTGCTCCTGAATGGACAGCTTTAGGGGACAGAGGTGAAGTCCCATCCACAGCTCTGTCTCCAGGGTGTCTGGTGCAGGCGCTGTCTGTGCTCTAAACGTCCTTCCTCCCTCTCTCCCCTCGCTGTGCTTGACAGGAATGCACCCCAGATCCTGGGAAGAAACTCCTGATGGAAGTCTCACTTTGATCTAAAAGAGGAGACATTTTGCTAAGTGTCCATGCATGGATGCACTCCAGAAAGATCCATGGAGCAATCAGGATCTGCCTGACCACCTCTAAGGCCTTTCTGCTTTGTTGCCTCCTCTCCTCTCCTCTCTCCTTTCCCCTCCCCTCCTGCCCCCTCCCTCCTCCTCCCCTTCCTTTCCTTGTCTCCCCTTCCCACCAGCACCTTCCTGTTCTTCCACTTCACTGCAGGGTTTGCTCCTCTATAGCCTCTCCTCTACCAAACAGGCCATTGTGCATTTGGAAATAACATTAAAGGCTTCCATTCACCAGTGGCTTCTGCTCACTCTTATTCTCATTGTACTTTAGTGAACCCACTTTACAGATGGGAAAACTGAGCCAAGAGAGCTAATAGGCACCAAGCCAAAAGCTGAGCCCAGGCCTCTTTGCCTATTTGACTCAAGGCCACTCTGTGCATGAATGACCAAGGACATGGTTAGGATTCAGCAGAATGGGCGCGGGGGGGGGAGCAGCAGAACTTGGAGAGAGCACTGAGCTTTTGCTTCATTTCCCATCTTGACAGCTTTATTCTCATCCACTCAGATGAACACTTAGAATATGTGTGGTGGAAGTGAAGGGACCAAGGCCCAAGAGTGTGAGCTTCCTGAGACAGAGCTTTATACAGCACAGGCCAGCACAGCAATAGGAAATTTTCAACCAAGTAAGCAATGAAGTCTCATGACACCTCCACAAACCACCAACCACGGGCAACAACTTGATATTAACAGCACTGATCCGCTGTCACTCCCACGTGACCGGATGGAGCGGTCTTCCCTCCTCTCAGCAGAGATCACCTCCAAGAGCCTGCCTCCAAGATGGTGGCGCCTTTCTTCCATTCTCAGGCTCTGCCTATATAAAGTCTCAGCATAAAGGCCCAGCCCAGTTCTCAGTTGAAAACTCCTGCCCTGTCCTTCTCCTCTCTTTCACCCCAGCTCTGCCCACCGAGCTAGGCTTCCCAGGGGAACCAGGGAATAATGCTTGGCCAGTGGCTGTTCCTGCCCCAATCCATACTGAAGCCTATGATAATAAATAATGCTGCTATCAGCCAGTACATATTTATATTTTCTCGGTGGGGAGTGATGGATGACAATTGTACCCTGGGAACAGCATTGCCTTAGGGATTTGTGTTTCTTTTCCTGCCTTGATGGGACTGAAGGGTGAGAAAGACCAAGGCGATCACAAGTTCCCATGACTCTGTGTTTGTGTGACTTGTGGCACACACAATGTGCCCACAGCATCCTCGAGAGAGAAAAACCAACAGCACACGCACAAATCAGACTGGGCTTAGAAGCCACATAGGACCTAAATGTGGGTGCACATGCACACTAGCATGTTCAAAGTATTCAGGCCTACAAACAACATCTTTGAACTCCATCTTCCAAACAAAAATAAAAACAAAACCTCTACCAATTTTAAACTGGGCACAGGTGGCTCACACCTATAAGACTAGCTACTCAGGAGAGAAGAGGATCATGGTTCAAAGTCAGCCCAGGCAGACAAGTCCAAGACTCTTATCTCTAATTGATCAGCAAAAGGCAGAAAGTAGCTGGGCACTGGTGGAGTATGCCTATCATCCTTGATACTCAGGAGGCTGAGATCTGAGGATTGCAATTCGAAGCCAGCCCCAGCAGAAAAATCCCCATGAGACCCTTATCTCCAGTTAGCCACTCAAAAACTGATAGTGGAGCTGGGGCTCAAAGTGGTAGAGCACTGGCCTTGAGCAAAAGAGCTCAGGAATAGCACTCAGGCCCTGGGTTCAAGCCCCATGACCAACAAGAAAAAAAAAAAAAAGGAAGAAAGTAGCATTGTAGCTCAAGTGGCAGAACACCAATCTTGAGTGAAAAAAGCATGCTGTCCTGAGTTCAAGCCCTGGACACACACACACACACACACACACACACACACATACACACACACACACACACACACACTTGTTCCAAGCTAACACAGCCAGATTGATGGTACCTCACTTCTGTTGATATATGTGTAAAAATTCAAAATTGAACTTTCACTAATCCATCGACTGGATTGTCCATATAAAGTATACTCTGAGAACTCGGCAAGCATGTGGAGTCTGAAGTGTGTAGCCTATCATTATTTCCTCAGAGCATAGCTGGTGTAACACTGTCTATGGAACAGGCTCAGTCACTACTGTCTGAATTGTCCATTCATGAGGTTTTAAGCCCCCAGATGGGCTTTTCCCAGCCAATCTGTCTCCTGACAGGCCCAGCGTGGTCTGGGCACTTGAAATGTAGCTCTTGCCCCTTCCCGCCCCCACCACCGTCACCCACACCCCTGATGGAGCTCAAACTGGGAATGTTCGCACAGTGGGTTTCCACATCACATGTTCCAGCTCTGGGCTGGATTGCTTACATTAAATACATTTGACTTAAATAACAGAAGGAAAAATACATCGAACCACTCCAAGGACATTCTTTGGCAAGGCCTCCACTTCTGCATCAGTGGAAAAGTACAAGTTTCGGCAACCTGAGCAAGTGTCATTATACTCGTGTGCAAATTGGGTCTTATTTCCTTCCCTGTGTAATAGCCTGGAGAAAAGAATGCCCCTGTGCTTGCAATCATTCATTCACTCACCCGTTCATTTGTTCTTCATGTTCTAAACTCTGTGTGTGTGTGTGTGTGTGTGTGTGTGTGTGTCCTTCTAATTCTCCAGGCCAATCAGGAAAGCCAATTTCATCCATAGTCCCTCCCACTGGGACTTTACCCTGCTTCCTCTCAGGAGCTAACCCTCCACCCTACTCCCTGGCCAGCTGCCTGGGAACTTGGAGGATTTTACCATAGCAACGGTGGCTTGTTTCTCCCACATGGGTCAATAGCCATCCACTGTCCAGGTGGCTAGCACACTTGCAACTAGAGGAAGGTGCTCACTGAATTTTCTGGAACCTAGAAAAAACTTAGTATTGCTCCTTCCTGGGAAGAAAGCATCATGTGCAGGAAGCAGCTGACCCAGGAAGCTGTCACTCCTTCTTTTACACGTCCCCAACTGCATATCAAGCTACGCATGGGCAGGTGTGCTGAGGCCATGTGAATAAAGGAATGTTCTTTAAGCCCAGTTCAGTTCTCATAGAGGCTGCAGATGGAGAAACCAGCCTCAAGACATCACAGTACAACTGTTCAACGATTCTGAGGACAATAAGATGACCAGTTCTTTCCCTTCTGGCTCAAGAGACATCACAAAAAGGGACCATAAGCTGGGCGCTGGTGGCTCATGCCCGTAATCCTAGCTACTCAGGAGGCTGGGATCTGAGGATCACGGTTCAAAGTCAGCCCGGGCAGGAAAGTCCATGAGACTCTTATCTCCAATAAATCACTAGAAAACCAGAAGTGGCACTGTGGTTCAAGCAGTAGAGCACTCGCCTTGAGCTGAAGAGCTTAGGGACAGTGCCCAAGCCCAGAGTTCAAGCCCCACAATCGACCAAAAAAAAAAGAAAGAAAGAAAAGAAAAGGGACCACAGCACACGATCTCCTGTAAGGTTTAGTCCTTCAACTTGGTGGGCATAGCACTGTTGGTTTATGCCCATTGTGTGTCCTCTCCTTAGGAGACGGCTACGTCTCACTTTTCTACCCCATATAAAATGGTTCCAAGCTGGGTGCTGACAGCTCACCCCTATAATTCTAGCTCAGAAGGCTGAGATTTGAAGGATCAAGGTTTGGAGCCAGCCTAGGTAGAAAAGTTCACTAAACTCTGTCTCAATAATAGTAATAGCTGGGCGCTAGTGGTTCATACCTGTAATCCTAGCTACTCAGGAACCTGAGATCTGAGGATCATGATTCAAAGCCAGCCTGGGCAGGAAAGTTCATGAGACTTTTATCTCCAATTAACCACCAGAAAACCAGAAGTGAGCTGAAGAGCTTAGGGACAGCACCTAGGCCCAGAGTTTAAGACCCGCAACTGTAAAATAATAACAATAATAATAATGATAATGATGATGAAAAACAGCTGAAGGTATGGCACAAGTGGTAGAGCATCAGCTGAGTAAGCGAGTCAAGTTAGGTCAAGTCCCTGAGTTCAAACCCTAGTGCTGCCAAAAAACAAAAATGTTTTTAATGGCTCCAAGAACAATTCTAGTGTTAATGTGCAGTTTAATACATAGAAATTTCCATAGGTAGTTACAACAAACTTAATGTACTGCCACAAATAGCTGTGAATGTTTCAGCATAAAGAGCACGCATATGCAGGCCAACTATTTATTGTATTTGAATGTG